ATTTATGTGTGTGAAATCAAATTTGAGAATGTGTAAAATGTCTGAAACCCTAAGGTTGATAATTTGGGGTGGAGGTTCAGCTTGTAAAAATCATTATACAATGGTAAGGTGGTGGAGTCTACCCAATAACTGTAATAAAGCATTACAAGGGGGTGGTAAATTTACAGATTTTACTGTAATATACATATTGAATGACTTATACTGTCTGAAATTTAATCTAGAAGCCTTTATTTATAAAAATGTAGAACTTGTCTCAAAATAATTTTTTTAATTTTATGTTCTCCTGATGAATTCTTTTCTTTTAGCTTAGTATTCATTTTTATCAGCAAATCATTAACTAATATTAAAAACAATGGAATCTGAAAAAATTCAGTTTCAGTGAATTTAATAACTTTAAAGATTATATGTTTAGACAAGAAACTTTAAATATTTTGTGGTCATAAATTACCTGATAGGTTGAATGAATATTAAATAGCAATGTATAAATAGAAAATATTTGGAAAGCACTAACTTAGTAAATATATGTAAAGGAGGCTATGATAAAAACTAAAAAGTAAAATGAACTAGTTAATACTGCTGATCTTCATGTAACGATAAACAAATGCACACTACCCTGTTTTAATGTATATATGTATAATCTATACAATACAACACCTTCTTCTCTGCTTTCTTTTTACCTTGCATATAGTGAGCATTGTTAGTTTTAGCAAAATGCTCTAAATTTGATATTATTATATGACTTACAAAATTGAACTAATTTCTAAAAATCAAAATTTCATTAATAAATTATATTAAATTTAAAACTAGATGTGTTTAAACCAAATATTTAATTTATTATATTTTATCAAGTTTGCATGAAGAGAAGTAGTACTTAGAAATTTTTAGAATTTGAAATTTAGTTGGTATTGTAGATACTGGAATTGATAATACTTTAGTAATTAATTTAAGTTTCTTGATAAGTTTCAAGTTTTGAAAAGAGTTTTATCAATCACAGTAGATTTTCATTATTAAGATCATTTAAAAAGCTTTTACACTATCTTTATCATTTCTTCATGAAGTTATGGCAAAAATATACATTTGTTTTTAATCTTTGTTCAGTAAGTTTGTAAAAGACAAAATAGCTTTTTCACAATTCATTATCTTCCTATCTTGAAGGAAATAGTGCTCAGCATAATTGTCCTTTCATAGTGTTAATAAAATAATTCACATATATTAGTGTATCTGTGCTGTTGATTTCTTTTCTAGCTGAATATTATATTTTCCTTTTATTAAATTAATTCTTAAATAACAGTAAATTTTCTTCAGTTATTACTGCATAGTATAAGTGAAATTGTGTATACTTGATATTACAAAAGCACAAATGTACCTTGCCTTGAAATTTGTGAAATGTCAAATACCTTTATGGGTTGGGGGTCTTTTTGACAAAAAAGTAGAGCAAAATTACAAATTAGTATTTTATTGAAAAAAAAATACAAAGACTAAAACCAGGTCCAAAGCTGCTTAAAATTGTATTTTTTAAACTTTTATTGCAGCAAAATGCGCACTGATTTCCTCAAAGTCTAATTCTCATGCCAAATCACAATTGTTGCCAAGTAAGACATGCTCTGTAGAAAGTCTTGTAAGACACACTAGATCAAGTTTATTTGTCTCAGCATCTCTTTTTTTCCAAATTTCCTCAAAATAATCTGAGTGCTGGATCTCAGAAATTCTCTCCGTAGTACTGGTCTGATGAAAGAGTTGCTGAGCACCTGACTAGTTCCCTTCTGGGTCAAAAGTCAGAAAGGTATTTATCCATGTATAGAATGTCTTGGGCACATAAAACTAGTGAAGACCATCCCTATCCAGGTCAAACCACAGCCGGTGTCCTTCAAATTGAAAGTTCACCTTGGTCACAGATGTGTAACTGTAGATTCCATCTGAGGAATGCTCCACTCTGACTGTTGACTTCAGTTTATGAACTCATCCACCCAGCAATGCCATGTTATCACTACACTGACTTCATATGTAGCTATCCCATTGTGCAAGATGGACATTGATCCTATAAAAAGGTTCATCCACCCTTTGATAGGTCTTGTTTTTAATTCCTGCTGAGTGTCTAGTCACCTTCCTCGCCACAATAACCTGGTTCCAGTTTAGTCACTAATGACTCAATTATACAGCTGGCAGTACTGGTTTACAAGGTACCAGTAGCACTTGTAGGGCGACCTAATATTGTGTGTGTGTGTGTGTGCATGGACACACTTTGTAGTTGTTGTTTTTTTTTTGTTTTTTTTTGTACTGGATATAGGTGCAAAATAGATTGTCAAATGTAGATATACCAATTATAGTTATATCTGTTTAAATTATACAAACTGATCAATATATAAAATATGTAATAAATATGGAAAAATATTTTTTGTATTAAAACTTTAATAAAAATAATAGATTATACAGAATGAATAGTAAAAATAATACAAATCTGTCTATCGCTTGATACTACAGTTTAAATGATGATTAATAAATTGAAAGATCAGTAAATGTTCTATTAGGCATTGGCATTTGTCCTATTTAACCCTAAGTAATCAAATTGTATATTTGACTTAGTTACCAAGTTATTTGCTAAATTTCATTGAAACATTTAAATAACCATCATTTAATTTACTATTTTTAGTGTTATTTGTTTTGTAAAACATTTATGTATAAAATATATGTGTATGTGTGTATATATGTATATAATATGCAATTTATTATATATATTATTTATATATTATATATGCGGGGTACTTATTGGAAAGTGCTCAATATCAGTGATAGAGCTAACATATTTAGTTGGATTGATGTGAATTTGTGGCCCTGGGTTTCATGTTTTTGACAATCGCAAAAGCATGAAACCCAGGGTCACAAACAAGATCAATCAATCCAACTATATATATATATATATATATATATATATATATACACACACACATACGTTTCATTAGACAACAGACAAGGTACTGCAATTAAGCTTTTTACTTAATTTTTTTGTGTTCAAATGCGTGTTTTCTTTTCTAGACACTGTGTGTAGAAACTGTTCAAAGGTCCTGTAATTCTGAGCACTTTCAGCTATACTTTTAGCCATTATCAAGGATGATTTTATTTTTACTTTTTAACTAGTATGTTTCAGATGGAATCTGGTAAGTTTGTGTGTGTTTAAATAGGTTCTAATGGAGCTGTGGTCAGATAGCTTACATTACACCTATCTGGATAGATGTGAAGTAGTGTGACATGTAATTATTTATGAGTTTGGTTTGATCAGAAACACAGTTCCTTAAGGGGCATTTGAACTCATAGATAATGTTCATTCATTGTAATTTGGATTTTGCTGGTGTGCTGTTACTTTTGAGGATATGGTTAGTTGTTTTAAATTTTTTGTAGTAAGTAATTTTTTTATTCAGGTCATTTAGAGTAGTGTATTTTTTTGATATTTCTAAGTGAAGATTTATCTTGTTTATAGTTGACATGCATTTGGCCTTTCTAGAAAATATTTTTTACCAGACTCCATCAAAAAAACTAGTAGAAAATACAAGTATAATGGCCTCATCCACATATAAAAAAAAAAATTAAAAAAAAAGGATTAAAAATAATGGAAGCCTTAATAATAAAAAAGAAAAAAACCAACACTCAATAATATTAACTATGAACATGACCACAATGTGCTGTGTTCGGAAAATAAAACATCCTTATAACTCTAGATACATACACACAACCCATACATCCAGTTAAAAAATAAGAATAAAATCATCCTTGATAATGATTAAAGTATAGCCGAAAGCACTTATAATTACAGAACATTTGGACAGTTTCTACAGACTCGTGTCCAGAAAAGAAAACACGCGTTTGAACACAAGAAAAATTAAGTAAAAAGCTTAATTGCAGTACCTTGTCTGTTGTCTTTAATGAAACATGTATAAATGAGGGGGTTGCTGCCTAAATATATATATATATATATATATATATATATATACACATAGAGGATGAGATGGATAAAATGTCATTTAAATGATGTAAAAATAAAAAATAACACTGACATCTCATTTTAACATATATTTACCAAAATTACACAAAAATATCTTTAAATACTAAAGAGTATATTTACCCTTGGTGTCCAGATAACTTCAGAATCCCCTGCAACTCTTTTAGACAGTCTCCTTGTTTAAGTTGGTGAATGATTCCATAATTTTTATCTTCAGTTCATCTTTGGTGTTACAAGGAGTTTTGTTGGTATTTCGCTCAACTCTGCCCCACACATAATAATCAAGGAGGTTCGACTCTGGGGAGTTAGGTGACCAGATGTAAGAGATGATGTGGTTGCAGAAATTGTCTGACAAGGTTCTCTTGCTTGTGTGGTACAGTGCAGAATCCTGTTGCCAGACATAGGGTCTTCCAGCAGCCACCCTCTTGACCCAGGGCAGCATTACCTCTGCAAAGCACTTGATGTAGGCCTCCAAGTTTGTGGAAAAATGAATGAAGACATAATGTGGCCATCACTAGTGATCATATCAAATACCATAATATGGATTGGGTATATCTTTGAACTCTTTCTGAAACATTTTCAGATTGACACCTAAACACTCTGAAATGTTCATATTGTAGCTTTCAGTGTAAATGCCAAGCAGTACAGCATGCCATTTCCAATATCTTGTGGAGTGAATTGCATCATGATGCTCTTTTTCTCACAGATGGTGCCCAACTGATCCTACTTGTACTGTGCAATCATCAAAAACAATGTGCAAAATTAAAAATATAAAATTGCAAGAATTTACCCAAGTACCCTCTATATCATAAAATTAATCTGCCAACAATTTTATGATTTTTTTATACTTATAAATTTTTTCTTCATGTCAACTAGATTCTACCTTTTCTGATATTTTGCCTTACAACACAGCATTTTATTTTTATCTGATTTCACTTTTTTAAAGCTAAGGACAAAACATTTTTTAATGATTTATTCAAGAAACAAAATGTTTTTGTATTTACAGAAAGAAAATTGAAGAGATTGGCAAGATGACTGCCTTGTCTCAGGAGGAAATTATCTCCAACACCAAGACAGTTATACAGGGTCTGGATACTCTGAAGAATGAGCATAATCAAATACTCAATAGTCTTCTGACTTCAATGAAAACCATCAGAAAGGAGAATGGAGATACTAACTTGGTGGAAGAGAAAGCAAATATCCTCAAGAAATCTGTTGATTCAATTGAACTGGGCCTTGGAGAAGCTCAGGTAATTTCTTTTTTTTATTCATGTTTTGCTTATTGTAATAGTATTTTTATTGTAATCATTTCAGAATATTGCTGTTTTATATTCTGTTTTGAGTTTTCAAATATCTATTTCCTATGTGTTTTCCCTGTATAATAAAAATTAGTTCTAGTATTTCAAAACTGCACTACTTCATTTAAATATTACTTAGAATTCTCAGATTAAATTTTATGTATTACATATTAAGGGAGATCCTTATTTGAAATATAACCATAAAATGTTATATCTTTATGAATTTTGTAAGAAGTATTTAATTCTGATAATTTCAGTAAATTTTAATTTAACAATGTATTATAAAAAAAAAAAAAAAAAAAAAACTTGTTTGCTTTTCCATAAGCATAATTTTACTTTTTATGAAATTTTTAGAATGTTTTGTTTCTTTCACTCTATAATTGTTAACTTATTTATTCAAATAAATTAGTTTAGTGATAAAAATTATATAATTTAATGATCAACTATAAGTGATTAAAATATCAAGATGATTGGAATCTTCTTTTTGCAGGTGATGATGGCGCTTGCTAATCATCTTCAGCATACTGAAGCTGAAAAACAAAAACTTCGAGCTCAAGTACGCCGATTGTGTCAGGAGAATGCCTGGCTCAGAGATGAATTAGCAAACACACAGCAAAAACTTCAGATGAGTGAGCAAAAGGTGGCCACAATTGAAGAAGAAAAGAAACACCTAGAATTCATGAATGAAATGAAGAAATATGATACAAATGAAGCTCAAGTGGTAAGCATAGCTCTTAACTTCTCTCAACATAAAAACACACATTCACATTGTTTGAATTGAATTTTTCGTTAATTTCTTCATGCTTAGTGATTTTAATCAGCAAATCTCCTTTATTTTCAGTCTGCTCAAAGTATAAAATTATAAGTTTGCTATACATCATATTTCAGAGTAGAAATCTGTCCTATAAGTTAGATAACTTTTATTTTACACTTATGTCCATTGATGTTTATATTTTCTGTCTGATTCTCTGGAATAAAGTTATTATTTACACTATTTACATTCAGACTATTGTCCTCAACCTTGATTTAATAATTTCTGTGTGAATTTCTAGGATGCAAAGAATAGTCTGAATGTAAATAAAGCTATTTATATATTTATAATGGCTAAAATTATAGGTATTTAAAAATGCTTATGTGTAATATTTCAATATTTTTGCTGTGTAATATACATCCATGAATTTGCAAAGGATGTTTTCTTTGTAACTTTCTCACTCTGAAACCAGGATTTTTGATAACTTCAAATATGACTAACTATATATTATCAGTATTAAAGACCATTAAAGCAAGAATTATTCAATTAAAAAGAAAACCTGAACATCAGTCACTTCAACATATAGGTCTATGCTAAAGAATTTTGTTGATATATTGCATTTAATGTTTCATTCTATAAGGCATACTTGTAGACAGGAATGTGTACAAGTGCCAGTAAGTTCAATCTATGGATATATCTTAAATCTTACATGCAAATTACAGGAAATAAAGTCAATGACTTCATTGTCTTAAATGCTACTTTCACAGATGACATAAAAGGATTTAGCTTTGTCATTAACTTCTTGGACACTTAAGATTAATGCTCTTGATTTGAAGAAAATAAAGATCCAATAAATTGACGAAAACATTGAAGATTTGCTAATCTGGGATTATGCAATAATATTTTGGTTTCATATTTATTCCTATTTTTTACAGAATGAAGAAAAAGAAAGTGAACAGTCGTCACTTGATTTGGGCTTTCCAGATGATGATGATGATGGAGGTCAGCCTGAAGGTAATTTTAATTTCCTGATATTTGAATTTAATTAATTCTTATATTTTAGATTTTTAGTGTTATCCAAGATTAGATTTTTATTCAAACATAAGATATATATTCACTTTCCATTAATATGAAATATTTAAATGATTGTTGAAATATTGAATTTTTTTCAAAGATGTTTACAATTTGTTTGAATAGAGGAAATATATAAATTTATTTTATGTAATCAAAATAATTGTAAAATAAAAATAATAATAAATGCAAAATTTCATAGAATTTTAAAACAAAATGGGATTTATGAAAGTAATGAATTGACTAATATGTGTTCAAAATTCTTATTTAATGTAATCCAAGTTGGTATCTTTTTCTTTCTTTTTTTTTTTATAGACTATATTTTATATTTGAAGTTTCCTCTTTATTCAAATGTTTGATCAAAACTCCAGCTTTATTTAAATGTTCTTTTATGTTAATATAAAAATGAAAACTACTTACAGGAAAAAGGGATTATAATTACAGTTCAAAATCTTATTGATTTATTTTCACACTATTATTTCAAGTAATTTGTTACTATTTGTGACAAATTACCTAAAGCTCAATGGGCACAATGCTTTGGCTGCAGATGATCATTTACAATGCAAAAGATGCATATGTGCAAATACAATCTTATAATATCATCAGCTGATGAATATTCAAGAGTCCAGTTTGTATTGAAGAGGCAGGCTGTCTACTACCAACAGCTGTTGAGAAAATATCTATGGTGAACTGCATTCCATGATCTATTTGTATTGAGTTACTTATCTTTCGTCAGCAGTGACTCTGTTTTAAAGTCTCTGTTTGGATCACAGAATCGGCTTACTCGCAATAACAAACTATTTTATTGTATATATTAGTCCGAGAAGGTGCAGTGAGTCACATTTTTGAAAGTAAAAATGGTTCTCTCAGAGGGTTAAGAGAGCAGTTTAATTCTGGACGTATTAAAATTAACAAGCCATTTCTTGCCCTAGTTAACAAGATTGTAGGTCATTTTTGAGATCAACTTCCAATTTAACATTATCAAACCAGTCAGATTTACTATTAAAACAGGACTAAATGATTGTATCATCAGCATAGATACAGAGTTGAGAAATGATATCATCGGAAAGGTTGTTAAAAATTAGGAATGACATAGGTCCAAGAATAAAGCTCTGGATAACACGCATTAATGCAAAATTATTTAGATGAGTGGCTGTTCAAAACCACTTTCATTTCATGATTTGATAAAGACTAAATCAGATAAAAAAAATTTGATCAGAAATACCATAACCTTTCAACTTGTGAAGAAGACCAGTATGTCAAACCCTGTCAAATACCTTTGGGATATTCAAAGCAACAGCCTGGTCTTCACCATTCTTATCTAAAGCTGGATAAACTCTTTCAACAATAACCTTTAACACATCAGTATTTGAGCCAGAGAAGTAAGAGCCATATTGCTTGTCTGAAAGAAGACTGCAATGTAAGATGCTTAACCAATTCAGAGTTGATTAGGACCTAGTACTTTGCCAAAAATAGGTAGTAGGTTAATAGGCCAATAGGTGGTTTACCTGACTACTTAAAGGAGGATTTCCATTAAGTAGGAAAGCAAAGCGTTTATTGTAGAGTTTAGAAAGAATAGGAATTAGTTCATCCTTTGTGAGGATCCAGTTTAGAACTGATAGCAGAAATCATGGATGGAGTTATATGCATATCACTCAATAGAGACTCTGTTCAGGATAGAAAATCAGGCACATATACACCAGATGAATAAAAAGTAGAATTTGAAGAGAATTTATGAACAAAAGATTCTACTTTATCAGCAGAAGATGTTAACACCACAAATTGAGTGAAGGTATAGAAGATTTACTTTTATTTAAAACACTATTACATCAGTCATATGAACCAAATTTGTTAGTCTATACTGTAACTCATTCTAGCAGCAAATGAAGACAAGTTTACAATTATTACAAGTAGACACAAAGAGGTGTCTGTTGTAATTGGAACTGTCATGCTGGTACAGCTTGAAAAAGTGATTCCTGTGGGCTATAGCAGCTGGACAAGCTAATGTGAACCAAGAAGATTGTAATTTCATCGGGTATTTCTGAGAAGGCACAAAAAGCATTGAAACTGGTTTTAACCAAAGAAACAACTTCAGTGGCACAATTCTCAAAAGGAAGGTTAAAAAGATCAATCCCAGGAGCATCACAAAGAAAGTTACAAAATTGAATCCAAATCAGTACATTGGTAACAGAAGTAAGTTTTGTAAATAGGTGGTTCATGTCTAATAGATGACTCAAAAGAAATATCAACAGAGCAAAGAAGTGTTTTAGTGAATTCCACATCCAAAGTTAGTAAAGTTTCAAAGTTTAAGGTATGTATCATCAATAGATATTTTTGTGGCAAGTTCAAGATGGTATACTTTGACCTGTTTTTGCCCTGCTGTCAAATTGTGCTTCTGGCTTATTTTACATAGTGTAAATGATTTTTTTTTTTTTATTCATGTACTACTGAAGAAAAAAATTCTTCATCTTTGATGTGCTATGAATTATAAAAAGTTGCAAAGTATTAACAGTTGAAATGAAACTTGTATGATCATCCCTTCTGTGTCATTTTTATGATTCTATTTTTAGAATGAAATTTTCCCAAAGTTTAGGCTGGTCAGATCTAAGAATTATTGATTCCATTAGTATTATGTTTCTTTTACTTCATGACTATATATAGCACATTACATTTGTTTTAACTATTCTGCAGCTATTTATACACTATTGAAACTGGCTTCTGGAATAATAACATATGAGACTGAACATTATTTAAGTTCTGACCCACTTTGAATGGTCTTAACTTTGTTACTAATTGAGCTACCAAGATAAATTTGTCCCATTTTTTAATGCTGTGTCCATTTGTCTATGTGTGTATTAAAGGTTTTTAGATATATTGAAAATGATTTCAGTTTGAGATACCTACTGAGATTAAATGAGATTGTCTACAGAAAGGGAGCTACTCCACCACTAATGGCAGCTATGTCAATAATCTATTACACAAATATTGCAGTGATTGAGAAAGTATCAAAACTGTTTCAAAACCTCAAGCTTCATTATGATCAGCATCTATTTATGATCATTCATGTAATGTAATCTAAAGAAGCAGTCAGTGTTGACAAGTATTTCTTCTTGCTTCATAGCCTTCCACAGGTAACAACCAAACAAGTAAAAGGTGCTTGGATCAGCATCACATCTACTTTGCACAAATTGTTAGCCCATACATGGGAGCTCATTGAAATTAATGATGTTTATGGATAGGTTGTCCTGGATGAAGCAGTGCTGGAAGGGTGTAACAAAATTTTGAATTAAATTGTCTCACAAAACCAAAACCAACTTTGAGTTGAATGTGAGCTGCATCTGAACCGGCAGTGAATGCTGAGAGAGAAGAGTTAAATCAATATAAAAAAAATGTAATGTTAAAGGAAATTCTACCTGATATTGTGAATTTCTTAATTCACCTGTGCAAACTGCTGATTTTCATTTTTTCAAATGTTTAGTACTGCTTAATCATGTTGAATCTAAGTTCTGACAATTGAAAAGTCTTATTAATCTTGTATTGAAATTAAGATGGTGCATAATTTCAGATGATCGAGTTCAATGCAACAATTTAACTAATTACTGTCTATTTGTTACCATTTCTTTATAAACTATTAAGTTCCTTTATGTTTTAGTTTGTTGACATACACATTTTTTGAAACTTTACTAATTCACTCCTTTTCTGTCAGATTGATGATTGAGAAACTCAGTTTTTCTAAGTTGTCTTATTTTTTACTCTTCCAACAAAAGTTCAAAACACCTTGATGGTTTAAATATGAAAAACTCAGAAAATTTCTTAAGAAAATTTTAAATATGTCTTTCTTTTTTGTTTCTTTTTTTTTTTTTTTTAAACCTTGCCAATACAATTCAAATAAGTCCTAATTACCCCAGCCCCTGCCCAAATCATTGTTCTAACTTAAACTATGCCAATTTTCATGTTTTTGGTTGCAAATATTCAAATATCAAAATTCAGCTCTAGATCCTAAGATTTTAGGAAAAATCAAAATATTTGTCACTTTCAGAATGGCTTCATTATACAAATCAAACAAGCCCTTGACCTTCTCAAACATCTTTTCTTTTTTCTATTTTTTTTTTTTTTTAACTCAAATTATACCAATTTTTAAGTTTTGAGGCTTAAATTCCCCAAAAAACATTTTGTTACCACCAGATTTGAGGTAAAATTAAGTTTTCTGAATGGTCTTGCCAATACAATTCTAATGACTCCTCAACCACATCCAAGGCATAATTCTTTACAAGTTATGACCAAATTTTTGTGACATCTATGTAATATCCCAATATGTATGGATTGGCATGTGTTTTGGAAGCCAAATTTCTAGGCCATATAAAGCAGGTTCAGTGTACATCTTTCAGAATCATTGTACTACCACTCAACCAGCTGCTACCCTGTGGAACTAGTTGTGGCAGCTGCACAACTAACCAAAAACATTTCTGTGACTCCTCTACTCACCCACCCCAGCACAAGCCTGAATCTAAAATTGCTTTCTATAAATACAATGGTCCAGATCACATGATAAGAGTGTTTGAGTAGAAGATAAGTAGCTTGTTTGCACTTCAGCAGTGGAGCACATGGATTGGAAGTGTCCAGGGAAAAGAATGTCATCTGCTTACTTCCCCCATGCAAAATAAGAATGGGTCAATACCAGTCACTCTAGTTTACTCTCACTCCATAGTGAGCACAATACTGTGTCATTTTTGGTTCAAAAAAATTATTAAAGTGACCACAATAAATAGGGAAATGTGAGCTGATATAGGACTTTGCATTGTCAGAAATTCACACAGAAACCAACAACACTGCTGAAATTTGATGTGCTGGTAGAGTTCTAGAGGTAACTGGATTACAATTTACTGCTGGGGATCAATGCCCTCAAAGCACGAAACAGCATCCGCATAACACAGAGAGAAGATAATGCCAATCTGTACAGCACTCAAATGTCGAAGAATTTGAATTCTGTACAGAATTCAATGAAGACTGCATCATGTGAACTGGGCCATAGACAACAGGTTGTGAGTCTTGGGGAAATTGATGAATAGGGTTTTAAAATAGTGCCAAATCAACTGAGAGTAGATTTATGAGGGTGAACTACAAGTCAATGCATTTATGGTTGAAGTGGACATCTGTGTAAAAGAATTAAAGGAATGAAAATAAAGTACAAATGTATCCATTCAGGATTTCAGGAAAGCCTACCTGCAGGCACATATTTAGAAATTACTGTGGCTTTACCAGACATTTGTGGTCAAGAAACAAAGGTATTGTCTCATAAAGTTGGTATTCAGTCTTGACATGGTATCTCTAATAATTAAGGCTGTGCTTGAAGCTTTGCTGTCACTGGACGAATCAATCCAGAAAGTAAGATCAACATATATTAATGGTATCTTTTACAAGAAAGATGTAGTGTCTGCAGTGATTATAAGAAAACATCTGGCAAGATTTGGGCTGAAAAGCAAAATTCAGAAATCCTGCAAAATGGTGCCTGAGTACTGGGATTTGAAGTCTTGCTCTGAGAGCAAGAAAGTGTGATCTGGTGGATGTTCTCCAGATCATCATGTGGAGTGTTTTTTCCATTTCCTGTATGTGGGTGGCTTCCCACAGCAACAGGCTTTATCAAATGCCAAATCACCACTCACATGCAGAGCTGGGATGATAAAGCAGATGATATTCCCTTAAAACATATGATAACAGAAAGCATCACCAAATTGTGATGATGTGACCCTGCCCAAAGAGAGTGGCATGTGAACAGAAAGGAAATAAACATGTGGGTAGCTGCAAGTTCTCTAGATGAGGGTAGGGTAAATAGATTGATCATTGAGGATATGTGCTAGCTATAAATACTGAAATATATACAGCATATCAATGTGGCAGAGCTTGATGCTCTATTAAAGGGAATCAACATGGTGCTTAAATGGCAAGACGGGGAGATACTTTTAAGTACTGACTCTCTGTGTGTATCACTGATACATCAATGTATCAATGCTAAGACTCTATTGAATACCAAGGCTGCCAATCCATAAGGAGACAACCGGTTCCACTTAATGTACTTGTGGACAAATATGACCTCTCAGTTGATATAGTACTGGTGAGATCTGATGAAAATTAGGCAGATGGGTTAACCAAGAGGTCACAGAGATGGTTCAGAAACATGAAAAAGAAAAATGAACCTTTTGAATATTGCTGCCACAGAATAGCTGAATCCTGTTCAATTGACAGATATCCACTCCAGAGTCAGTAAAATGCTATATTTTGCAAAACGAGACAATCTTTCTGTATCAAGTGGTAGTGAGGTTGATCAATAGCATCACAGAATTGGCTTACTTGCAAGAACACTTATTTACTGTATGGTAATAAATGTATTTATGGCCCAAATCAAATGTTTTTGAAATAACTATCTTCTCCATCAAGGCTAGAGTTTAACATTTTCCTCTCCTCTTGGTAGCAAAAAAAGCATTAGTTTGGGACAACTGATTAGCTTCATTTTTTGTTCTTTTTAAGGACGATGCTATAACAATACAATTTTTTTTTTTTATTTATTAAAATACAATTCTATTTATTCTTTAAGTAACTAATTTCTTAAAATAAAAATCTTACTTCTCACCAATAGTAGCAGGCATGGACTACATCTATTCATGCAAACACAAAATGTAAGCACTTTTTAAAACTGGTACATTAAATGAAAAAACAAAGTGGAAGGACTTCAATTTAGATATTTCTATTTATCTCTAAATGTAAAAGACATTAAGATCTGATAGTAAGAAATAACTTTGCTTTAATAAACAAAGCAAGAAAATTATATTTTTCTGTCAATTTTTTATTTAAAAAAAAAATTAACCATTAACAAACAACATTTGTGTAATGTTTTCTACTTATCATATGCTAAACTTAAATACTTGACTGCCTCCTGCAAATCTCTGTTCATGGTCATATCCTGCTCAGCAACATGACCCCCAGGAAAAGCATTGACTAAGTAGTAGTGTCTGCAGAACACAGGCACATTAGTTTAAAGATTTAATGAATTAAAATAAATATTTATTTTCTAAACATTTTAATGATGTTTTTATTATGCTACTAACAATTACAAATTATAACAAAAATTTTACAAGTAAATTTCATACTATAATTCAGCAAGAATTTATCCAAGTTTTACCACATATTCTATATTTTTTAATTAATGTTAGTTTATAGCACTGAAGTCTGTCTACATACCTATATTCCCTCAACATTGATTAATCTAGAAGTACAAAAAATAATAATCCAAAATAATTTTTATCCTTTATTTTTTATTTTAATAGCTATAAGCATGTTTAAAAATTAACTTTTTCACTAATAGTAAGTGCCTTTTTTATTTTTTAATTCTATCGTTTTTTTTTTTTTTTTTTTTTTTTTTTTTTTTTTTTTTTCAGTTTTGTCACCTACCCAACCCAGTGCAATGGCACAAGCCGCAAGTGGTGGTTATGAAATTCCAGCACGACTTCGTACACTACATAACCTTGTTATTCAGTATGCTTCTCAGGGGCGTTATGAAGTGGCTGTGCCACTCTGCAAGCAAGCCCTTGAGGATCTGGAGAAAACTAGTGGCCATGACCACCCTGATGTTGCCACTATGTTAAATATCTTGGCTCTAGTTTACAGGTATTTTTTATTTTGTAATCCTATAACTAATTTAAAAATTACATTTAAAGATTTTCAATATCTTAATTTAAAGGCTTTCGGTATCTTAATTGTTTTAATCAACACAAATTGACATTTTGAAAGTATATATTTTACATTTTTGCACTTAAAGGTAAAGTTTTTATATATTCAATATTTAATAATTTTTTTTAATATTATATGATAATATTGAAGCCATAGTTGTAATGACAAAAAGAAATATGTTCTCTAGAAGACTTAAACTAAACTTAAATTCAGTTTTAATAAATCTTGTAGGATAATTAAATAAACATTAAAATATCCTAATTTATAAAATTCTGCACCTTTTTGGAAAAAGAATAAAACATAACATTAGTTAAAAAAAAAAAACATTCTTAGGTAAACATAAAAACTATCAATCAAATATAGATCTGCAATGAAGTTACCAGTAACAGTACTAACAAAGATTTCTCATTTGTGGTAAGCTATCAAATTACAAGTAGCCTTTTATTTTCTATTGTAACAAATTGTTAGAACAAAGTAAAAAAAGATTTATCTAAAATCTAAATTTTTAAATTAAAAAAAAAAAAAAAAAGCACAAACTGATAAAATAATTTACTCAATTAATTAGATCTCACTTTTGGTTTCCATTGTTATTTAAAAATAATTTTTTAATTACTTACTAAACTCAGGCTACATTCTATCATAAACTTAATATTACTTTAAAGTATTCCTACTCTCTATTAGATTAAATCATTCATACATTCAAATACAATAGCAGATCTACTATGAAACTTAAGCTTCAGGACCCCTAATCCCAGAAGTGCTCCTGAAGCTACTTTTTTTAATGAGCAAGTTTTTCAACAAAGTTGATTGGTACATTTTTTTTTATTTATTTTTTTTTAATTACAATAAGGCCATTTTAGTGACAGAATCATAAACTAATTGGTTGAAGTAGTTAATATTGGCCTTAGAATATACTCTTATACCCATTTCATATGGCCTGAAAATTATCCCATAATTGATCAAATTTCAAAATTTTCTTTGGGACTTGTGACGCATCCAAAATCCCCAACTTGTTGCTGTTTGCAAATAGGGCTCAAAAATGTAGGTCTGCCACTGTTCAGATACATTACCTAAGTTGTAGAAGTAGAAATGTTGATTTTAAAGCTCCAAATTTATTTTGCATTATCTGTTATTTCATTAAATGTCTTTCTATTATTATGCAACAATAAATCAATATGTCAAAAGTTGTAAAATAGAATGAATTCTGGATGAGAAGCAGTTGCCTTACAACTTAAAAGCTTCAATAATTTCATATAAAATAAACATTTAATATATATTATTTTAAAAATGTAAATTTCAATCCTTTAAGTATGTAAATACTTGCATTTGGATATGTTTGAATTTTTTTTTTTCTTCTTAATTTTCAAACGTTTTTGTAACTTGGATACTTTTTTATTTTGTTAATCAATTTTTAATATGTTGGTTATTATCGTTCATTATCGTTCATTATTTCAGAATTATATCGCAATAGTGTTGATGTTATGTGACATTTAAAAGTTTTGTCGTATTCCTCTAAGTGACATAAATGTTACAATAAAAACAGTGATTTTATGATACTAATGAACCAACATATTAAAAAGTATTGTTTGTTTATTTTCCCGAATTATTTTCATTGTCAAATGTTGCACCACAGCTATTTTGCTTTTCTTATCCTACCTTCAATATCCATTTATTCTGCTCCTCCACCATTCAAATGATTATTCACAATTCTATTATCTGGATCAGCTCTGCATTTTTAACCAGCCTATTCAAGAAAAAAAACTGCTTTTTTTTTTTTATTTTTTTATTATTTTTATTTAATTTTAAGCAACTGACCCTCAACACTATCCCTCATCCTGTTTGCTATGGGCATTGAACTTCCCAACTTGATAATCATATAATTGTGCTTGAAGATATTCCTTCAAGTTTTTAACTTACTACTTTTTACAGAGATTTGGGAGCAATAGAAGAAGCAACAAAATGTCTTGATTCTGCACTCACTGTTAGAACAAATATACATGGGTGTGAACATACTTCTGTGAGTTTTGATGAGTGATTATCAACATAAATAACTATATTAAAATGCCCATGATTCACTGTTACCCTTTCAAAATATTTGTAATGGTGAACATAGCAAGTAAATAAGCTAAATGACTGAAAATAATATAAATTAAATATTTAGCTAAGCTTTAAGTTATTAAACTTTCCTTGCATATTTTAATTGAAAAATGTTACTTTCTTTTATTTTATTTTTGATTCTATTTAAAAGCTATAGCTGTCCTTATCCTATGAGATTAGATTTGCTTTTTAGATTTGGTTTAATGGCTTTCTTTTCTTTTGTTCTCTAGGATTTCTTTTCTTTTTTTTTTCTTTTTTTTCTTTTTTTCTTTTTTTTTTTTTTTTGTTGCTTTTCTTGCTTTAATTTGGATTCTTTCAGTCAGCACCCTAGTTATGTTCATTATTTTATTTCTTAGCTTTTACTTCAGTAAAGTAAGCTTTTGGATTTTTTGTTTTTACACAAAATAAAACATAGCAAAAGAATTTTCTTTTACTTTGGCACCTGAGTCCCCTTCCGAAATGGCGTTTTACCTTACAGGACTTCAAAAAGAGGACCTGGGGATCTTCCGGATTCCCCATTTTCTGACTGCCTAGGTGCCGGGCAACTTCCGAATTCCGATTCTGAATCCAGGTCGGTTGCTAAGATATTCTGGATCAGTTTCTTTTCTATCTGTCCACTTAGTTCCTAGTAAATGGTTCTCTTCTATTCTAGATTTCTTTTGTTAGTATTTCTAAATACTATTTTGCTAGTTTTACAAAGGAATTGTATGGATGCTCAAGGTGAGATTTTCACTTATGTGAAATCTACTTTAATCCTTACTTTTCTTTTATATTTTACTATCAAACAAAAATTATAAGTATTTTTCTCTTTCTATTCATTTGAATGTATTGTTCTTAAGTATAATTCTAAAGCTTTCTTTTTTTTATATATATATATATATATATATATATATATATTTTAAATTCTAAACTTTAGTAAAATTGTTATTACTTTGTCTTTGGCATAATTCTCAAGCAAGCCTCAGTTAAACTGCTTAACTCATTTAACTTAATAGCAAATAGTTTTAAAGATTTAGTCTTTTATTTCTTTATAAACTTGACTACATTTTGGATGGTTTATCATTTATTTACACTTTCAGTTATTATATGCAAGGAAAATGGTATGTTCTATGCAAACTTTTTGTTTAGGAAAATTAGTTATTTCTTCTGAAAATTTATTTATATTAAAACCCAAATAAATAACTTGGTGAAATATTTTATAAAATTCCCATCTTTTACAAATATTGAAGATGTCTTATTCTTGATCTCTACATTCTTACCCATTATTATTTCTCAGATACTTGTATAGTAATCACATAATGTCCAAGAAACAATTTAACCATTTCCAGACAAATTGTTTTGTTTGTTTGTGGCTGAAAATAATTGCATTTTGCATTGTTTAAAACTTAGTGATTCTATGTTTTCATGCAATTAGGCTGAGACCTGCTTGTGGAATACTCAAAGGGAGATGATGAAATATAGCAGTTGTTTAAAAAAAAAAATTTCAAAAATTTGTTTTCAGAGACCAGGGCAAATATAAGGAAGCTGCCAATCTACTGAATGATGCTCTTGGCATCAGAGAGAAAACTTTAGGACCTGATCACCCAGCTGTGAGTCAAAATATGTGTAGCTAAATAGTTTCTTTCTATGCATGAATATTTGGGTAACAGCTTTCTTGGGCAAATTCAATATTTTCTATATATTTCTTTGTCTGCATTGTTTTTGTTTTTTTTGTGTGTGTGCATTTGCTTTGAATTAAGGTTTCTATAAAAAGTGTATAAATATTAACATTGACTTTTTTTATCCTTTTCCTCTGTTAATTGTGACAACTTTTAATTCATTTCATTAATCAGAGAAATGAAATATAACATTAGTGTAACCTTTGCATGGTGAAAGGATCGAAATTAATGTAATCCCATAGTCTCATGGACAACAGAACGTTATTTTAGGACTACTGGTTAGCAAAAAACTTTTTCATTAAAATTCTATTATATTTATTCTAAAAATAACCCATTTCTTAAAAGGAAATTCTTATTTTTCACTATTAAGCATATGACTGATTTGGTTTTTTCCATGATACCTAAGGTTTAAAATGAATTTTTAAAAATGAAAAATCATTCTTGAAGCTTTTTTGGTTTTAATTTCAAGCTAATAGATTCAATTTAATATTTCCAATAAGCAAAATACTTTGCTCTATTTCAAAACTAATCCAAATTGACTGGATGTAGTTTTTGTTTTTCAAATTTCTTAAATATTTTAATTTAGCACCATCTGTCATCAGAATGTAATTCTCTTTATTAAAAAATCTTCCAAAAATAAAATATTTCTGACACTTTATTTGAGGAATATTAGCTTATTTAAAGTTTAATTAATGTGATTTGAAACAAATATTACATTATTTTAAGTTTAAAATGTTGCAGAAATGCATTTTTTAACATGGTGGTAGCTGTTTATTTATGTTGACAGCTTGATGGCAGATGGATGTTTATCTGATGCTTTTCTACAGTGGATATATTCATTAAAAATAATTGAAGAATATAACATGAGCACCTTTTTCATATAATTTTTAAGTAATCAGTATTCTTAAAAATTTAGAAAATATTCTCTTTAATGTTTTATTGAATTTTAGATACTTTGGCTTTAAATTTACTATAGTTATTGCTCATTTTTTGATACTGTTGTTTATGAGCTTCCATATCTACAAAAATCAGCACATTTATACACATACAAAAACAATTCAAATTTTTTTTTTTTTTTTTAAATACTCAGCATCTGTAAATTGTAATAAGCTTTACAATTTATTATTAGTAAATATAGTTTTACTTAATAACAATGTTCCCTAAGCTTTGCACAATTGAATTTGAAAAGATTTAAAAAATTTATGAATTATTTTAAACTTTTAAAAAAATGAAAACAAATCTTATAAAAATTCATTATTCATCAAAAAAGATTTCTTTCTTAAGACAATTGTGTCCTTAATATATTTTATTTATAAAATAAATTAAAAACTTTTCTAATTAAATCATGTCTAAGATTTTTGCATTTATTTTATGATTCAGAGCAGATTTTTGGTAAGACTCGGTCTGATTTAAAAAAAAAAAAAAAAAAAAATTGATTTAAATTCTCCAAGGAGTTCTGCTTTTAACTAATATAATTATTAAGAATTATGTCATTGAATTTCTCAAGTTTTTATAAAATTAAATAAGTGGGGTGTAACACGTTCTGAAAAAAAAACATTTAACCAAGATTTTCTTAAACATTTCTAGAATAATTTTGTTCATTTGTGAAAGTTTCATTAAAATTCAGCAATTATTTGATTATTGCAAGAATGTCTAAATCAATGTCTTTCACTGCAAAAAAGATGCTAAAATTTGTTTTGCTAATTTTTAGTCCACCCAATGTAGAATATGTAAAGATTAAAACAGTTTCTATAGTGATTCAGTTAAGTAAAAATCGAGTAGTTATATGCTTGACATTAATCACATTTTATAGTTTTTGTTGGAATAAATAAAAATTTCTGACGGTACCAATTTATTAAACAAAGCATGTCAAAATAGTTTTTTAATTTGTTTTATGTACTTACCATAGAAAATGTATGCAAATATTCATATTTTATTTCACATATTGCTTGTACTTCTATTCTTGTACTGCTTGTGTTTGTCTACACTCTTGCTTGTAGCATTCTAACATGTAGATATCAAAACATCAATTTTATTGAATCTTTACCAAAACTCACATATATTAATGATAATTTACAATATTATATATAAAGATTACCCATTTAAGTTGGGTGCTTAACATTTCTTTCATAAAAGTAACTTATAGATTAATGTTCCAGTCATTAAAATTATTTCCTGTTTTAGAAAATAGTTGAACAAAAAGTTATTTAATTTTGATATCTTTTTGTACAAATTGATTTTTTGTGAAAAACTCTCTCTCTCTCTCTATCTCTCTCTCACACACACACATAATTATTAATTTGGACACCATCTGTATAAAATCTTTAACAATATTTTTTAGTCATTCATTAATGGTCATTAGTTTCTTTTATATTGTGATTCAAATTATTTGCTTTGTATTGACTATATACTTTTAACAATTATCTGCATACTATGAATTTTTCATAGCCATTGCCTTTTATACATTCTCATTGTTAAAGCATAATAGTTATCTTTAAATCTATAAAAGCCAGTATTTTTAATTTTTTGGTGCTAGACAGTTTAACTGAATGTGATTTGCACAATTGACAGAAAGGCTTCTTGTCACATAATTTACCTTGTTGCTTTTCATAAAGCAATTCTCATTACACAATAACTTCTAAGGTAGACTGAAATAATTACTAATTTCTGTTTTCTACATACTTGAATTTTTTCATTTATAACAAATAACTATTTGTATTAATTTATATAATATATTAATTTCTGGTGAAAATAGGTCACTTTAACCTAAAAATTAATATGAAGTTATAAATTGAATATTTCACAATTTCTTCTAATGAAATACCTTGAATATTTTCTTTTATTTCAGTTTCCTGATAAATAAATTATATTTACTATAAAAAAAGTCAATGTAAACTTTCCTGAAAAAAACTGTATTATAAATCTGTACAATGTTACATTAGAATGTATCTTTTATCTAGGTTGCTGCTACTTTAAATAATTTGGCAGTATTATATGGGAAGCGGGGTAAATACAAGGATGCTGAACCACTCTGCAAAAGGGCACTTGTTATTCGAGAGAAGGTACATGCCATTTTTAAATATTTCTTTTTAGTTATAATTCCTGTTTCTTTGCATGTAAAACAACTATTACAAAAAGCTTTCAAAAATTGGTTTTATTTTTTCTTCATTTAGGTACAAGAATGATTTCCTCTAGTATTTATTTAATAAATCAACAATGCTCAGTGCATTAAGAATTTATCAGAAAATCCTGGTCTTGATTTTGTAATATATAATTTTAAAGTTAAATCAAACACTTTTTTATTTTTTTTCATTTTTATTTTTTTCATTTTTATTTTTTTTCATTTTATGATTAAACTGTTATAGTTTATAATTGAAATTTTAATCTTTGAAAGAATATTAGTTTATATTTAGGATATTGATTTTTATTGTTGCATATACTTTTGACATTTCTTGATTTCATTAATGCAGGTTCTTGGAAAAGACCACCCAGATGTTGCTAAACAACTAAACAATCTGGCTCTCCTTTGCCAGAATCAAGGAAAATATGAAGAGGTAATAAACTTTTTTTTTTTTTTTTTTTTTTTCCTCTTAAGTTTATTTGGCAAATAGTTTCTTTCTAATCTGCTCAAATATTTTGTAATGTTTTTCACTTTTATAGGTCACATTAACCTATTTTAAGTGTTTTTAAAATTTAGTCATTGAATTTGTAAAGTTGGTAATTATTAGACAAAAGAAAATTAAGTAATTAGAAGAAAAGCAATATTGATTGATCCCCAACGTACTATGATTATAAGTTTTAAAATTTAAAAAGTAATGGAAGAAAAGTAATAAGGTACATTTTGTTAGGTTAGAGAAAAGTTACAATCCAACTAATGTTCTTTTATTTAAAATATGTTAACATCTTTAATAAAATATTTAAATTTATTTAATATATCTTGATGAAATTTTTTTTTTTTTTTTACTTTTGTTTGCAACAATATTGCTTAAACTTTCTTCTAGGTCACACATTAAGTATTTTCTTTTTTAAAGTTTTTAATAAGAGTTAAAATGAAATTATCTTTTTTGTAATTTTTACCTACTTGCAGATCTCTGTTAACTTATTAAATTTAAAATATTAAATATTTTCCATGTTTAAACTTTAATCAAATAACTTTCATAAAGTTTTATTTCTATTTCAGTTAAAAAAATATAAATTTTAAAAATTATCAATAATAGTTACTAAAAATGTCAACACATTATAACAAAATTTTAATAAAATCTTTGAGTGATAAACTTAATCTGAAAATGTGTGGGTTAAACAGCATGCTTAGCTGAGAAAATAGTTTGTAAGAATGTTTGCCACATTTTAACTTAAGATGTTTAAACTTTTGATGAAAACAACTACTTTCTTGCTAGTTAACTTCTCTTGCCTCTTTGTTTATTCATAGGTTGAACGTTATTACCAGCGTGCATTAGAAATTTACCAAAAGGAACTGGGACCAGATGATCCAAATGTTGCAAAAACCAAAAATAACTTGGTAAGCTTCTAATTTTCAAATTTGTTCTAAAAAAAACGAACTTCATTCAATTACTATTTAATTTATTGATAAAGTAACTTGTAGATCAGTTGCTGGTAAAGAACATATCTGCAAAGTAATAAGCATAATTAAATTTGCACATATTTAACAATTAATAATGCTTTCGTTTTCAGGCATCAGCATATTTGAAACAAGGAAAATACAAACAAGCTGAAATTCTGTATAAAGAAGTACTTACCAGAGCACATGAGAAAGAATTTGGCAAAGTTGATGGTATGAATATTCTATATAAGTCATTTTATATTTAAATACACCTTTTTCGAAAAGATAAGTGTTTTTATATTTTAACAGCAAGACAATTGAAGTTGAACAATACTGATAGAATGAAGAGTTAGACTAAAACATTTTAGTGGTTCTTTTTATATATATATATATATATATATATATATATATATATATTGATGGTCATATATATTAAACTTTCAATATAAAAAAGTTGTCAAATGCCTGTACTTTTTTTTATTTTATTTTTTTCTTGTTGATGGTCATATATATTAAACTTTCAATATAAAAAGTTATTAAATTCTTGTAATAAATCATCAAAATCTATAGATTATTAAGTCATTTTCCATTATCATATTCTGGATTGATGAATGTATTCCTCTTTAATTCATAAAGTTTTAATTACACAACACAAAAAATTACAAAATATCTACAGTTTCTTTCTTTGATACTTTATATTAATATTTCAAATTTATCAAATTATGATGCATCTGGACGCATCAATGATGTTACCCTGGGGTCAATGTCTATTTCAAGTCTGTCAATAATCAGATACTTAAGTGACCTTGATATAGTTGATCATCCATGTGTCAAGTGGTGCTATGCCACCCATAGCTACCCTTTCCTAATCTTCAGCTACACTGAAGCAATTTCTGCTGCTTCAGTGGCCACATGGTGGATCTTTACCTTATGCTCAACATACTCTGCAGGTTCTTTAGAGTAACTGGCATGCAAATCCCCCTGAATTCAACCCCCACCACCACCATCACTGTGTTTGCACCTGCCACTTATCGCTTTGAAATTCTTCTGCCAGGTTCGCATACTCTACCTTCTTTTTCTCCTTGGCTTCATCAGAAAACTGTATGTTCCAAAAGAATGTGCTTCCAGACTTTCAAGGTCTGCACTATGTTAAAAACTTTTAAAAACTCAACTATTAAAATAGAATTAAAAAACAATTTTGCATTTAAATTTCTATAATAACCTTAAAAATATAGAATCAAGTTTGATTATATGAAAGTAGTTGAATTTAGGTAAAAATGGCAAAAGTGGATAAATAGGTAAAAATGGCAAAAATGGATAAATAAGAAAAAATGGCAAAAGGAAAAAAAATATAGATGAATATCTCACAATGAGTTTATTAAAATCTTGGATACAATACATAATGGAAAAACATGAAGTTTGTCAAATTAAAAAGAATATTCAGCTAAAGCTCCCCCCCCCTCCATGAGATTTTACTTTTTAGGCGATTATGTCGGAACACACTGAAAAACATAGGGAAAAAACAATTATAGGTCCACTTGATGACGGCTTCTGGTATTGAAATCAGAAACCGACATTAAGTGGTGTTTATCAGAAAACAGTCCCTCGTCAGTTTTGTACACTTAGAGTTGTTTTTTTTTAATTTCACTAGTTTGAACACGTGGGAATCGGTAATGCAGTCGAATAAAAAAAAACAATATTGGATACATTATTACTATGACATTTAATAATTTAAATTTTGTTCCATTTCTATTTATAAAAAAAACTATTAGACTATTTAAAAAATAGAATAAAGTATTTAAAAATGTTTTTAATATAAACTATTTAAAAAGTATTTTCACACAAAAAGAAAACATTCAAATTAGAAAAAATAATAAACTATTTAAAAAATATTTTCAAAGAAAACATTCCTCTTATAAAAAAAGTTTTATTTGATTATTTGTAAGAAAAAAAACATTCCAATTAAAAAAAAAAAATGTTTTATTTGAATGGGATTCCTAACCTTCGCCTTTGCGATTTTTCTGATTCCCTGATTCCGATTATTCGTCGTCCACACACACACATATATATATACATATATATATATATATATATATATATATATATATATATATATATATATATATATAATCCTAATGTCAGCTATCAATTTTAAAATTAATTATAGTCATCAAATTCACTTAAACACGCTACAATTTGTGCTTTTTATTGCAATTAGGAGTAGGAACCTAGCGCCCCCAACCCCATTCTAAAAATCGACATCGAAAATTTAAAAAAAATGTTTTTAATACTAAGAGCGGGAACTTAGCCCCTATTTAAAACAAGAGGAGAAGGAACCTAGCTTCCCCCCCCCCACTAGAGTAAATATCTATTTAAAAATATTTATTTTAAAATATTGAGTGGTGTGCGGGACTTAGCCCTATTTAAAACTTGAGGGATGGGAGCTTAGACCCATCCTTCTCGAACGGTCATAATTTTCTGTTGTCGAATTGCCATTTTTTCCTATTTATCCACTTTTGCCATTTTTTCCGCTGCCATTTTTACTGAGCACCAAAAGTAGTTACATCATTTTTTAAAAAAATGCTTATTTTTATGTTCTACTTATTTGTTTGCACATAAACAAATTACAAATAAACAAAAAAATTTATCTCTTTCAATTTTGGCAGAAACACCAGAAGTTATTGGAGGAGTATCCTAACTCATTTACTATTTGAAATAGTTATTTATTCATCTGTCCTTATAATTTGCTAAAAATTAATGTTTATTAAATAATTTATTGTCAAAATAGGGAAGGTTTAATATAGAGGAACTTGGTAAACATTCATGTGAGGTGTTAACTCTATTCAGAACATCTTTGTACATATTTGTGTATTTTTTCTTAAAAACATAGTTTATTTATCTCTGCTTATTAAATATCATCAAAGGAATGTATAAAAATAACATTACAATTAAACTTGCAGACAAAAAAAACACCCCAAAAATGACTATCTTAAGTTCAGTACTAGATATGCAGCTAGGTCTCATAATTTCACTGTTGAAATTGCTACATGTAACTTTAAGTTCTATGCTAATAGTTTCTTCTCTTACACTTATCACCTGTGGAACTCTCTTGCAGCTTTTTGTTTTCTCCTCAATTACAAACTTCAGAAATTTAAATTCATCAATTGTCATCCTTTATTGACCTCTCCTCAATAATTATTTCTCAGATTTTTTTCATTCTCAGTAATCTCTGATGTTTTAATAGCTTCATTGCATTTTTTGGTGCAAAATTATACTTAAAAGATAAAAAATAAAAAAGAACTACCTAACTCATTGCCAAAACACTCAACTAAATCATTAAACTACATTTACCTTCAAATTACAACACTAATAGCCACATACAAATTTATAGAAATTTTCAAAAACAGACAGGACAGCAGCTTATTAGCATCAATGGATGGCAAAAACCTTTACACAAACATACTGGTCAAAGAAACAATTGCCATAATAATTTAACATATTCATGTTAACAACATAGACAAAGTAAAAATCGGAACTGTCTTCAAAAATAATTCTATCCTTAATTCAACTTATGGACTAAAGCTAAATAAAAGAATTCCTTATTAATTGATTTGAATAGTGGAAACTTTGGAACTTCTGTCTATAAAAAAAAAAAATTAAACCCATGCCTCCTTAACTACAACAGCGAATACCTACACATATACAAAATAAATTTCATTCACAATTTAATAAATAGAACATATTTAATATCCTCTACATACAGCCTTTTTGTAACAAACTATAAAAACAAAATAACAATAATTTGCCTAAGCATATAATTGATAAACAAATTAAACAAATCTAGAAAAAGTAAAGACAAACAATAATACAAATAAAAACAATGTAAAAAATGATTAAGTACACAGTAACCACAAACTAAATGAAAAAAATTATTAGATTTTTTTTATACATATGAACTAAAAATAAATTAAATTCTCCATTTATTACAAAACTAAAGACTTCAAACATTATCATCACCACCAAAAAAAAAAAAATAATTAAAACTTCACACCAATGTTTTCTATGAATTCACTTACTCCCTGCAAGAATGCTTCTATAAAAATAACAATTTAAACAAGACATATATTGGTTTCACAACCACCACATTAACAAGCCATTTAACATGCCGTTTATCTGATAAGTTCAAGTAAATTTCATATAACTAAAACATTGTAAAAACAGTAAATCTGAGAAATCTTTACCAATAACATAAGTGTTATATCAAAATATAACTACAAATAATAGAAGTATTAGGTATAAAAAACAAACAAATGCACCCTCAATGAAATATCAAATTTAGGAAGAAATATGCTAAATTTCAATAATGATATTAATAAAAATGACAGGAAATCTCATAATAGTTGAAAAAAAAACTGCTTATATAGCACTAAAAACAAGTTTCTGATAATGGCTAATGTTAAAAAAAATAAATAAAGCCTTAAACCTTTGTTTTGTCTTTAATCAAGCTTGTTAAATTTATATTAAAATTTCACCTTTTCAAAAACCCAAAAGATAAGATTTTGTATAGCAAAGGGATTATAAAGATTTTGTCAAAGTTTATAAATCTAATTTTTAGATAGTTAAGATTACAATATTTTAAGCTTGTAACTGTGCATCTTACAGCTTGTTGCATTATGCCTCCTCCTCTGAAGCACATATGTTTATCCATTACATATTTTGACACAAATGTATATAACATCACTATGGAAAAGTAAAAGGTGAAAAACAAAACCAGTGTCAATGACTCGCATTTGTGTCACTTCATATAAATTTTATTTAGTGATATAAAGATAAATAGTTTTGTATAACAGTTTCTAATTGTAACAAAAAAAATCACATTAAGTTCAAATATCTAAATTGATTGAACAAATTTAAATATTTTACTGAATATAGTAAACTGTTTGACATTGTGTATTTTGAAAACAATTTCTTCCTTCAAACACTTCTAGAATTTTAGTCTACTAACAAATTACTATTTCTCACTTAGTGTGCAAAATGTATTTGTTTGATACAAAGGACCTCAGTATGTGTTTGATACAAAGGACCTCAGTATGTGTTTGATACAAAGGACCTCAGTATGTGTTTGATACAAAGGACCTCAGTATGTGTTTGATACAAAGGACCTCAGTATGTGTTTGATACAAAGGACCTCAGTATGTGTTTGATACAAAGGACCTCAGTATGTGTTTGATACAAAGGACCTCAGTATGTGTTTGATACAAAGGACCTCAGTATGTGTTTGATACAAAGGACCTCAGTATGTGTTTGATACAAAGGACCTCAGTATGTGTTTGATACAAAGGACCTCAGTATGTGTTTGATACAAAGAACCTCAGTATGTGTTTGATACAAAGAACCTCTGTATTTTTCATTACAGATGACAACAAACCTATCTGGATGCAAGCTGAAGAAAGAGAAGAGAACAAGGTAAAATTCATATTTTCAGTATTATGCAACTATTTTTAATTGGTTATATTAAGAATTAGACTATATCTTTATCTCACAGTAAAATAATTAAAAGAAAAAAAATTCCTTTAAATCCATAATTCTCAGTAAGGATTGAATTAGAAAATAAATAAATTTTATAAAGCTATTAAAATAATATATATAATATATAATTTTTTCATAGACAAAAACAATTTACTTGCTATAAAGATGCAACTTTGTTTCAGTGCATTTAAAATTGTACTTTGACAGGTGAGAACCAAAATGGTTATGAACAATTCTGTTTGTAAGCAAGCCACATGTGAAACATCACTTCCTTTTTTCCATTTGTTTGAAAAAGAAAATAAAAAATACAAAAAGGTGACAGAGTGAAACAATATTGGTTGTCGATAGCAGTTTGGTGAAGGATGGTTGAGGTATTAAAGTTATGATCTGAAAAATTTATTTTCGACAACAAGGGTTGAGGCGCAGCATTTCCAAGCCTTTTAAGAGTGAGCGGTCGGGGGAGAAGTTGAGAATAGAAGATATTAATATGATGAAAGCAGAATGGGGAAAAAAATTCAAACGATAGTTATAGTAGTAATTGGAAATGTTTTGGGGGGTTATTTTAAAAAACTAAGCCAGAGCTGAATTGCATATATTTAGGTTGGAGTTATCACTACTAGTTTTGTACTCAATGAAAGTGTTTTGTAAATTAATAAATTAAAGGGTGAAGATTTCTTCTTGGTATGTTGAATACATAAGTTATTAATATTTTTTTTTTTTTTTTTTAAACCATAAGTTTCAATTTAGAGATTAAGATATAAATAGAAAAGTATATAAAAGTATGGGAAATTAATAACTTTTATAAGCAAATGTTGACCTATTGTCAGATTGTATAATGTGTAGAATAAGTGTGGGTATAAATCAATTTGCCTGAAATTATTACTAGTATTATATATGTGCAAAAAACATTTTAAGAATCATAATCTAAGATAAATTAGTGGAGAGGTATATAAGAGGGTAGAAAGTATATCAAAGGAGGCGAATTATGGTTTTAAACATTAAGAGTTATGGATTTAAACGTTTAGCAAGATTGTAATGGTTAGATCTTTAATATGCCTAAAACAAACAGTGGTTTCATATATTTGATTTAATAATTGGGTATTGTTCAAAAGTTCAAGAATACATATTTTTTCCTGCAAACATAAAAAAACTAGGTTTGTTCAAAGATTTGCAAGGTCTGTCTTGGTTTAGGATTTTCCATTTAACCATAGGTGTTTTTCCTTCCTCCTTCAGTTTCCAAGAATATTTAGAAAGTGATGTCATATTGCATTTGCCTGCATTTGTAAAGGAGGATATGTGATTATTATTATTGCTTTACTATCAGTATCTTTTGAATTAATGCTGTGAACATTAGAATTTATATATTATTTTTGTTCTCATTACAATTGGGGAGATATATATATATAATATACCCAAAGATGTTTTCTTATTAAAAGTTGAAACAAATATTGAAAGGTTAATTTTTTTATTTTAGGCAATGTGCAGTTAAATTCTTCAGCTATTTGTAAAGAGTCGAGCATGATCAAAGTTTGAGTGAATAGTACTGTTAGTCTTTATTTAAGAGTAAAGCTAATAAGGCAGTCAACTTGATATCGAACCAGACTCTTTTTTTTTTTTTTTTTTTTTTTTTTAGCTTATTTATTATTTTGTGCCTAGAAATGTGGTCCATGATACAATGAATCATTAGCTGAAAGGAAATAAAGCAAAAAAAACAACTGTGTTGCATATATGAATGATTTAGAATGAATCATCATTGCACTGCACTTTACACATCTTTCAGACAAATAGTGTTCAGGAGGTAAGAAAAAAGTTAAAATGTGCATTCCAACACACATATATGCATACAGGCACAGATATAGCTTTTTTTGTTATTTATCAAAAATTTTTCAAAATTTATCATTCTTTTCATGATAATTAAAAGCAGCAGCATGCCAACAGTTCAAAATAATTACATTTCTTTTGTTTATTAATCCATTCATGGTTTTAAAAAATATTTATTTTCAGTTTTTCTTCTATACATAGATTGTGATTTTTGCCTCTAATTTTTCTTTATCTTTTTTTCATTATATACAATTCTACTAATTAGGGGTTTTCTCTTTCAATTTTAGTTCTCATATATTTAGATACGCTGTTTGTTTTTTTTTTTTAATGTCTATCATATCTTCTCAATTGGGTTTTCTATTGTTGTTTCTTTTATGTTTATCTCTCTGCACTTTCCATGTAGGAGACATTTGGTTTTTCTATTACATTTTTGTTAGTGTTTTTGTATTGTTACTATTTGTTTTATTAAAAATTGTTTAATTTGTGATTTTTTATTTGATGAGTTATTTGCAATTACGAACTAAAAAATGAAAGAAAATACCATTAATAGAATGGTATATAATAAATAAAAATTTAAAAAAAAAAAGGTAAAGAAGCAAAGACCGAAATTGCAATCTATTTTATGATGGAGAAAATCATAGCATATAAGAACATAAATGGTTAAATAAACAAAAGGAATTTATTTTGCTCTGTTGACAAACACTGACACACATTCCTTTTGAGAAGAACAATAGATCTTGGGAGTATACAAGATAAACAAGTACCTGTTTTGAAAAATTGAAACTGGCCATAAATGAGTAACTAAATAAAAAAATTTTATGTTTAATAAAACACTTTTAAAAGTCTATTTATTAATTTATATTACCAGATGTAATTGTCTTTGTTGAATTTCTTCACTGCATTGTCATTTTTTAATTATTTGTTTACTTTAAATTGATATTAGATGAAAAAAAAAAACTACTTATGAATATATTTTGCTAATATGAATATAATAATTCTTAAATTACTAATTGTCAAAATAATTGTTTTTATGCATGTTAACTTTATATTGTTTTATAAAGTTGGGTATTTTTATTATATTTTATATAATAATGTGTATTTACTCACAGGCCAAATACAAAGATGGGTCCCCTCAACCTGATTATGGAAGTTGGCACAAAGCTGTTAAAGTGGACAGGTAACTGAATTTTTTTTTTTAAGAAAATATTGTAAAGTTTTTAGCAAATGATACTTTTGCTTTTGGATTGCTAAAAATTGAATAAAATCAGATGCAGCAACTTTTTTGCTGCTATTAAATTTTTTTTTATCATTAAGATTGCCCTGCTATTTAAAGACTCAGAAAATTAAGTTTTCAAAATTTTTATAATTTTTATAATTTTAATAGATGGTGAATCATGATAGTTTTCATGTGACTTATTTTGGGGTTGTTTTCTATCTCTACCAAAGCTTATTAAACTAATCAAAGGATATCCTCACAAAAACTGATCAAATGACAAATATGATGGCATTGTTCTTTTATATGCTTGCATATCAGAGATTCTCTAAACCATTTTTTTTAATTATGTAATTTGAAAATGTTTATGCTTATGGCATATTTGTTTGCTTGAGCTAGATATTGTCCTGAAAATAAATTTTTCAAATTTGTCACATTTAAATATATAGATGTGTAATTGTAAATATTATGGATTTGAGCATCTGTAATCTGATACCATTTTTTTTTTTATATACTATTTTATAATTTTTTTTATTTTCTCAATACTGATACTCTTTACACTTAATGACTAAAACTATTAGATTATTTGTAGCTTTGAGTCATTGTAAAATATTCTTATAGCTAATTGAAGGAGAAAAATTGATCAAGTTTCCTTGGTTTTATTACTATTTCTATGTTTATGGCCATCATCCTTATAAAATTTACATTTAGAAAAGATGAAAGCAACTATAAAAATATTCTATTAATGTACAAGAGTGTATTAACTTGCATAGTTTATTCCGGCCACATTTAAATTCAAAATTTTTAGTGTTGAATGTTTAATTAAATTTTTATAGACAATTAACATAAAATTGCCAATGAATGGTGTTAAATTGAAAATGTTCTAAATGTTTTTATTTTAATAAAAGCAATTATTTAAATTCAAAATGAAAAATTATTTAAGCAATAGTATAAATTTTTTGGAGTTCATAAAGAAACTACTACCCATTGTTTTTTGGGGTTTTTTTGTTTTTTTTATAGTATGGAGACTAATTTGTGATTAATTTATTTGTGGTACTAGAGAACTATTTGTGAGAAATGTAAAATTTAATGTAATATGTAACTTCGTATTTGTTTTTTAAATTCTTAGGCCAGTACTATAAAAAAAAAAAACTCAAACTTAAAGTATAAAGCAATATCCAGACTAATTACTAACTTAATAGTTTGGTATCTGAAGCTAACTTGATAGTGGTTAGATTTTTGCATGTTTGTATTGCAAAAGCTGAAAAAATATCAACATTAAAATGAGGAAAAGAAAATATTAATTGCTGCATAAAACAATGAAAGATTAAAATATCATGAAATGTTTGATATAATCAAAAGGCTCACTCTTGTAATTCATGAAATTTTTGCATGAATTCTGTGTTCAATTGAATTTAAAGAATTCCCATTTATTACGAACAACATTGAAATTAATATTTGTTTTTCTCAATCATGAAAAATACATGAAATTTTAAAAATACTTTAAGGGTAACTGATATTTACATAATCATTTTGTCTGATACAACAAATACTAGATTATGCTAATAAATTGAAAACTATGCTTGACATTGATGTGCCTTTACAAGCTGTTATCTATGTGTATATTCAGGTTTTAAAGATACAGGTTTTGGTTAAACAATCAAATATGAATACAGTATGAGAATTCTTATATGAAAAAAATACTTTAGTTTCTTGGTGCTAGGAAATTCTCACCATTGCAGTGACTGAAATGACTTTCAACAGTAAATATTAGGTATTTATATTCAGACTAATGTCCTCATCTTTGTTATTACAATGACTGAAATATCTTAAAAACAAAGATTAGGACATTAGTCTGAGTGTAAATAACTCCTCATTCCAGAAATTCAGGCAGAAACAGTAAGTTTTTATGTAGTTGTTAAATACTTGTGCAAAATGACAATGTTTAATGGTTTTGAAAATGCTATCCACTAACAGTTTGGAATTTGGCTAACATTGTTTATGTTGACGTTACACTAATGTCTTTGAGAAAAAGCATAAATTCACTTCTTCCTTTGTTGTGTACAATCACCAGATATCTTGATAAATATGTCAAGATTATGGTTGAAGTGAGAGCATTTAAGCACACCATTTTCTCGATTACTGATTTACCTGCCCAAGTAAAAACAACAGAGATAATGATTACAAATGTTTGCAGTCTGGGGAGTGCTTACTTCAACTGAAATTATATATGTTTATTATTAAATATAAAATGTAAGATTCAGAAGTCTTTGTAGATTTAAAATTAATGCACTAAATACATCTTAATGACAATAATTTGCAACTGTCTTTCAACCTTGTGCATGTTTGCGTGTAAACTCTGATAAACCAAAGAAGTGTTATAAGGATGGCCTGAAAGAATCACTGGACCTTGTAAACATCATCAGTACATAGGACTGAGAGTTCAATGCAAATAGATCATGCCACCTGGCAGAAAAAGCTATATGATTGAAAGGTTTCTTTTGAGTGTTCTCAGATTGCAAAAGAAAAACTGAAAAAAAGTATGCAAAAAGGAACTTCCAGACCATATAGGTGACAGGTAGGATCTTACCTGTGAAGTTTGTGATAGGCTTTGCTCAAATAAAGCTGGAAAATTAAGTCTTATGCAAAATCATCATAACAGCTACAAAATGATATCAATTACTGAGAATGCATGTCATATTTAGAGAAAAGTGTGCAAGTCAGCTGATGGACGGAAGATATGCAAACAGTCACAAAAATAAACCTAGTGACAGCGATATGAATGTTTCTTGTCTGCCAACTTTGTGTTAGGGGTTTTAAAAATTTATATAGTTTAAAGAGCCATATCCATTCAAAGTATAACTAAGTCTTACAATGATATCTTATAGTAGGTACCTCCACAAAATCACTAAAAAAGAGCATAGCTTGATGAAAAAGACACCAACCTTGCCAAAAACAAAATTTTATTGTCTAAATGCTTATGTTATTATTAAGAGGAAAGACCAAAGTTTTTTTTAATTATTTTTTAAAATTTTTCCTTCTTTTTAGAACATCCTAAATTTTGATTTTAAAAAAAAAAAAAAACCTTGTTTCTCTTTGTATCACCAGAACTAGTAAAATAACAGACAATTTTTAGCATATTTTTTTGGTATGATGCACATTAATTTGGAAAATCTTGCAAAAATAAAAATAATTGTTGGATGTTAATGAAACTTTCAGGAACTATTCACAGATCAAAATTATTATAAATGTTTTGTTTTTTGGGTTTTTTTTGTTTGTTTTTTAAGTCATGGTAGAAATATTTTTTTATATTTATTACCGCACCCTCCATATAACTAATTTTATGAAAACGCTAGAAATTCAATCACATCAGGTTTAGTGATTACAATAGTTAAAAGCACAAGGCTTTGAGGAATGCAAATCATGTTTTTTTTTGTTTTTTTTTTAATTGGAAACCACCTGAAAATCAGCTCTGAATTGTAACATACAAAACTCAATAAAACAAAGATATTATTTAATTTCAAATGCTTTTATTTGCTCTTAGTTGTTTTTATGAATATGGACAATATTTTCTGAAAGCAAAACATTTTTTCGATGAAAAATGAATTTTTAACACAATTATTTGTTATTTCTTAATTATAATAGATTTTTATATTTAAGTTGTTAAAATATAAAATTAGTTAAAAGCCGCATCGGCTTTCATAAGGTGTCCTTATGAGATAGATCTTTTTTTAGCACGCTGTAAATTGTATCCTTTTGACTAATCAGAAGATCTGCAGTAATTAAATGTAATTTTGTGTTTAGAATCGGGCTGTAATTATAAAGTACAGAAGACCAACCAGAATACATTTAAGTTGCGTTATTTGAGTTAAGCATTGTTTTCAACTGAGAAGGGTACCTACAAGTATCAGTATCATCTTATGAAATTTATATGATCTTATTTTTATATTAATCTGTTATGACATTTTTCCATAAATGAAATATCAAAATTAATAATAAAATGAATGGAAATACATATAACACAGTAAAATGTAATAAATGTACATAAAATTATAGTATTTTATGTACACTTCTGATAAAATTTCATAAGAAAGGTACCTATAAATTAATTAGATACCTTATGAAATTTAATCTCACTCTTAACAGTCTTATTTTAATTTCTTTATAATATATTTTCCATAAAGCATCGTAAAGGTGAAAGCTAAGTACAAAAAAAAATTAGAGCGCTGAAAGTTTTCCTTAAAAATAACACGGTAAATAATTTGTTCACTTAAATCTAAATAACTTCACTTTTCGGCTTCTGTAGAACAAATTATGATCCCATAAATCCATAAATACGTCCTTCATCACCTGTCAAGTCATGCGAAAGGTTATGACCTGCTTTATTTTATTTTATTTTTAAATTACATCTTTTCAGTGCAGAAGTTAAGTCAACCTTGGTTCAAAATATTTTAAATAAACATTATAATTTCTGATTTTCTTAAAATAAGTTTTGAAAAAATGATAATTGATTTTTAAAAGGATTTCAAAGTGAGATTTTCATTTTTTTTATAAAATGAAAAAAAAATGTTCAATTTGGCTGACTCAAAAAAAAACAAGATTTTTAACAAAAATTTCAGACATGCTAGGAATGATTAAAAAATGAAAAAAAAATACCCCAAAAATACTTTGATCTTTCCTCTTAATAATAACATAACATTTAGACAATAAAATTTTAATCAAATTTGCTACGTCTTTTCATGCTATGCTCTTTTTTAGCTTATCCGTGGAGGTACCTATCTTATAGTCATACTCAACAACAAAGACAGCTATAAGGTGTATATATATATATATATATATCAGTGGCGACTCTAGCCTATTTTTGCTACTCGTGCCCCCTCTGTCAACTTCAGTTCCCAACCCGTGGTCCGTGGACCCAAAGTAAGTCATCATAGTTGCTATTTTGATTCTCCATTGTATAGCAC